AAAAAACAAAAACAAAAATTATCTGTGATATTCCTGGAAATTTATCCTCCCAAAAAATTTATTTGGCTGTGTTTTATTTTTTCTAAAAAAAAAATAAATTTTTAATTATTACACAAAGTGCAATATTATAGTTATTAAGTTAATTTCAAGGTAATTATTGAAATTTTTGTTTATTTTTGAATTTTATATGCAAAAAATTCCAATTATGAAAAATTATCGCATTTATTTAATATGGAATATAATTAATTGTAGAACACAAAGAAGTTTAAAAAATGAAAATATATTTACTCATGTGATCGCGACCATGTGAGGAGGGCGAATTCCCTTGAACTCGATTTCAGTTGTTAAATGCGGGAGAAAAGTGACTGTTAGCGGTTTAAAAAAATCAAATATAAACATAGATTTTTTTATAAAACATTTTTTAAACGTGATTTTATGAAGAAAAAGAATTAAATACCCGACTTTTCCCTTTTCAATTTTCTTCCGACGGGTCGTTTTTATTTAAATAAGTTTAAAACATTGTGATTTTTTAAATGTTCTCTAAATTTTTTCTATTTTTTTTTTTTTAATTTAATAACTGTGGATTTTTTTTACTTTTTTTTATAAAAATTTTTTGAATTTTTTTATAAAAGTTTTTTGAATTATTATAAAAAATGTTTTTTTTTAATTTTTTTTACATTTTTAATTTCATTTTATTTTTTTAATTTTTGTAGATATTAATTTTTTAAATAAATTTATAAATGTTATTATTTTATAAATATATGTAATATTTTTGTGGATTTTTTTAATTTTTATTTTTTGTAAAAAAATTTTAAATATTTTTTTTTTTTTTGCATTTTCAAATTTTGTATTTTTTTATCTTTGTAGATATTAATTTTTTTAAATAAATTTATTTATTTTTTTAACATTTTAAAAATATAAAAAAACTGTATTCAAAATTAATTTATTTGTGCACCCACAATTTATTTAAATTCTATATTTAAAAAATAAATTTTTCCCACACTTATTTTAATATTTACGAAACAAACCAACGCCAGCAAACAAATAAACACCAACGGGAATAACATTCCCTTGGGTGCAATAGAGGGGGAAACGGGTTAAACATACATTTTAACTTAACCAAAAAAAAAACAACAACTAACAACATATCAATTGAAAAAAAAAAAAAATATTTTAACATTTATTTTCCCCCAATCTCTGTGAAGAGTAAGATACCAAATCTAACCTGTCGATCAAAATCGGCACGATCAGTTTTTATTTCGACAGTGTCTGGTGTTTGTAGACAGACGGACAGACAAGCAGCCTCATTCAATGATTTTAAAATGCATTACATTTAGCAGCAGCACCATATGGTGCATGCCATTTCCATCTTCACAATTTCAATATTTCTTAATCCATTTCTGGCAAACAGCATATTTAACACGGCTGCCAAATAGCCGCCAAGGTATTTGGTTTTTTTTATTAAACATATCAAAAATCCAAATCCCCACACAATCTACCATCATCAAACACCTTGATTCGAATCAGACGGAGTGTTCGATTCATTCACTAAAAAACACATACTGTGAACACTTGTCAATAATTTTGTGAACGAATTGGAATTTATTTCAATTTAATTTCGATCGATCTTCCGTTTGCTAACAGTTCTTCTCCTTTTTAGTCCGTTTAACGTTGAAGATTTACATTTTGGTCGGTTGGCGTCGTCTTCACCAGCGTCGTGATCATAATCGTTGACTTGTAAAAGAAAATGTTAAAGAGCAACAGTGTATGTGTGTGTGTGTGTGTGTGTGCAAGTTTGACCAGCCACCACAGCAATCAGTCAGATTTGTTTGATGCATTCTTCACGTTTTTTTTATTTCTTAATCTTTGTCTTCTCCCATTCTAACTCCATAAATGTTGCCTTCATCGATTTTTTTTTCGATGTGGCGGGATTTCAAATTTTCTGGTTTTTGAGTAATCGATGGATGTTGTGTGTTTTGGTTTATGCGAAGAGTAATTGTTGTTTAACGAGGGTCGGATCGAAATGTTCAATCTGAAAAAAAAAGAATAATAAATCGACAAAAATGTATCCTATGGGAGTATCTATTTGTAAAAAACAATTAAACTGTCATTTTTCCTGCAAGATAATAAAATTCAGCTAAGTTTTCGCATTGAAAATAATAATTCAGCTATTAAAACTGCAATTAAGCTTCATTTTTATTACAAAAACATCAATTCAGCTACTTTATTATTATAAAAACATCAATTCAGCTAAATTATTTTTATGAAAATTTAAATTCAGCTACATGTTTGTAGTTATAAATACTATTTATTTTTTAAAGAAAGATTTTTTTTTGACTTTTTATAATGAAAACTACAATTCAGCTAGTTTATGTTATAAATTATAGAATTCAGCTAACTTTTTGTAATGAAAAACACGATGTTATCAGATTTTATTAATGAACACAGCAATTCAGCTAACTTTTTTATGAAGAAAACTATAATTCTGCTATATTTTTGCAATTAATACGTCAATTTAGCTTACTTTTTTAATAAATATATAAATTCAGCTAACTGCTTGTAATAAAAACCACAATTCAGCTAACATTTTTAACGACATTTATAATTTATTCACAATTCAGCTAACTTTTTGTTAAGACTTATATAACTAGCTTCCTTTTCGTTATAAGAACAACAATTCAGCTAACTTTTTGCAACGAAGCCATCAATTCAGCTGGCGATTGGCAAAGAAAACATCAATTCTGTTAACTCTTATTTATGAAAACCATAATTCAGCTAACATTTTTTATTGGAAACATTAATTCAGCTAACTTTTCGTAACAAAACCAAAAATTTTGCCATGTTTTATAATGCAAACAACAATTCAGCTGACTTTTTATTGAGAAAACTATAATTCATATAACGTTTTGTATTACATCAATTCAGCTAACTTTTTGTGATAAAAACCACAATTCAGCTAAATTTTGTGTTAAGAAATATACAAACATGTTGAAAATACATCAATTCAGTTAACTTATAATGAAAATCTCAATACAGCTAGCATTTTGCAATGAAATTCACAATTCAGCTAATCTTTTCTAATGAAAATATCAATTTAGCAGACTTTGAGAAATAAAACCAACATTCAGCTAACTATTTCTAGATATATACACATTTCAGCTAATATTTTGTAGCGAAAATCACAATTCAGCTAACATATTATAATGGAATCTTTAATTCAGCTAACTTTTTGTGATGGAAACAGCTACTTTTTTATACATAACTCAATGTTTGTAAAGAAACCCACAATTCAGCTTAATATATCTGGAGAAATACACATTTCAGCTAACATTTTGTAACGAAAATCACAATTCAGCTAAAATTTTATTATGGAATCTTTAATTCAGCTAACTTTTGTTAATGAAAATAGCTATTTTTTTATTTGCCCACTTATTTTGTGTAAAATTCTAATTCAGCTTAGGTTTTCTATAAAAAAATTGACAATTCAGCAAACTATTTCTCTATGGAAAATGTATTTTAGTATTTCTAAAATAGAATTTAGCTAATTTTATCTACATATAACACAATTCAGCTAACATTTTCTTGACAAAAATTAAATTCAGCATATATTTATATTTGACAATATAATTTTAAAACTTTTTGTATAAAATTGTAATTCAGCTAAGTTTTTCTATACAAATTGACAATTCAGTAACCTGTTTTTGTGTGGAAAACGTAATTTTATATTTCTACAACATAACTCAGTCAATTTTTCCTACATATAACACAATTCAGCTAACATTTTCTTCGCAAAATCGAAATTCAGCAAATATTTGTATTTGAGAATATAATTTTAGATTGTATAGCATTGTAATTCAGGTTAGTTTTTCTATAAAATTTAGTCAATTTTTCTACATATAACACAATTCAGCTAACATTTTCTTCGCAAAATCGAAATTTAGCAAACATTTATATTTGACAACATTTATATTTGCTTAAAATCGTAATTCAGCTAAGTTTTTCTATAAAAGTAGACAATTCAGCAATCGATTTTTGTATTTTTTGTATGAAAAAATTTATTTAATATTTCTAAAATATAATTCAGCTAATTTTTACTATTTGTATCTCAATTCAGCTAAGTTTTTATTGACAAAAACTTAAGTCAGCAAAGTTTTAAGCGATGTTTTGCCTTCTTATAAACCTTTAGCTGAGATATTTTGTATACAAATGCTATTCAGCGAAATTTTTCGGCAAACAATAATCAAATTATCAAATTTACTGTATGTGAAAATTAGTTCTAGTTTTTTTTTTTAATAAAATTCAGCAAGGTTTTTGAGTTGAACAAATAATTATAGTTGTAATATTTGTAATAAAAAATCAAAATTCAGCAAAATTTTCCTTCAAAATAATCAATTTTTTGCCTTTGTTTTCCCCCTATTTTTGAACCCACCTCGTTAATAAATACCTTTCTTGGTATAACGTTTGCTTGTATTGTTTGGTCTTCAGGAAGCTGTCAATGCTCATAGCCCTTTCTCATACGCATGCTCACGTTCTTCATTTCAATTGGCATTTCTGTTTGTTTGTTTTTTTTTTCATTGTCTGTCTGTTTGGTCGTGGTTATGCTTCGTGGTTTGTTGACTGTTCCAAAACAAACGAGGGATTTCTTTCGGTTATGCTTTATTTGAATTTTTTATTGTTTGTCTAACCACCTTCAGCCTTACACAACGTGAGAGTAAGGCAGAGAGTGGGAGACATTGAGAGGAGAGTTGAGTGGCAAACATAAATGATCGATTAGTTATTTACAGTAATGGACCAAAGAAAAAAAGAAAACAATGTTGTATTTTGAAAATGTTGCTGTTATTGTGATTATTGATGAAGATATTCTTGATTTTTTCATGGGAACAGTGAGAGGAGGTTGGGGGCACATTCATCACCCACACCTTGTAGAAATGTCTGCAATTTAATATTTTTCTGAAAAAATACAATATCTTAATACTCAAATGTTTTGTTTCTCTTTTCAGGGTCGCATGCCCCTTAGCCGTGGTGTCTCAATGGAACAACGTCTGCAAGACATTGCCAGTCTATTCAATCCCATCCCAAGCATGGGTGTTGTTGGTGGTGTCTCCGAAATGTCACCCTATCCGCACTACCCTACCCATCCGTATACATATCAAAGTGGACCACAACATGCTCAATATCCACCACCACCGCCACATCCCCACCATCATCATCATGCTGCAATGTTGCATCCCAACGCCTCGTTGGGTGATTTGTGCTCAACACAGCCTCATTATGGCCACAATTTGGGTTCTGCAGTATCGTCCAGTATGCATTTGACCAATTCTACACATGATTCCGATGTCACTGGGGTTGGGGCCGGTGCTGTGGGTGGTGCCTACAAAATGGAACATGATATGATGTATTATTCGGTAAGTTGTTTTTTAAATATTTTTTTTCGAAATTTTGAAATTTTTAATATTTTTTGTTTTTTAACTTTTTAGAATGCCTCTTCAGATATGAATCACACCACAGATGGATTTATCAACTCGATATTGAATGATGAAGATTTACACCTAATGGACATGAATGTTAATGACAGTAAGTAGAAGATTTATTTTTGTTACAAAAAAAAAAAAACTTAAGGAAAAAATAATTTAGTGGTTTTCCCTTATATTTATTATGAAAAAAAGATAATTCAACAAACTTTTTTTTCAATAGAAAAATTAAAATTGATATATTTTCCGCTGAGAAATGCAAATTCAGCTAACATTTAAGGTTGAAAATCTGTATTGAGCTAAATATTTTAATAGAATTGCATTTTATTTCGCCATAATTTGTAATTCAGCAAAGTATTCTTGCTGAGTTTTTATTACCCAAATTAATTTTTGGGAAAATTCAGCTACACTTGTTTTTCAAAATATTCAATATTGTTCCGTTTTTTCTCAATTCAGCTAAGATTTGTACCCATTATAAACTAATTCAGCTCACTTTTTCTTTATAAAACTAAATTCAGCTGGGATTTATACACCAAAAAGTAATTCAGCAACAGTTTTCTTCGCATTACTAAATTCAGCAGATTTGATAGAAAAATAATTGGTATAAAATCTTAATTCAGCTAACTTTTTTATTAAAAGAAATCAATTCAGCTGAAAAAAAATAAATTCAGCTAATATTTTCCAATCGAAACGCTTATACAGCTTCTTTAATATTTATGAAAACTTTATAAACATTTCTCAATTCAGCTAAGTTTTTCATTTTTAAAGCCCAATTCAGCTATGTTCCACATTATTAAAATCCCATTCAGCTATGTTTTTTTTTTTTTTTTTTTTTGACTAAAATTACATTCAGCGTAGTACTTGTTATATTAATAACACTGATTCCCAAACATTTTCTAAACAAAACGCGTAGCCAGCTTCTTTATTATTTATAAAAACGTATCTAAAATTCAATTTTGTTGTTTTTTTCTCAATTCAGCTAATATTTTCCAATCGAAACGCTTATTCAGCTTCTTTAATATTTATGAAAACTTTATAAAAATCAATTTTGTTGATTTTTTTCTCAATTCAGCTGAAAAAATGATTTTTTTTATGAAAATATATAATTCAGCAAACTTTTTTCAATGGAAAAATTGAAATTCAATGTGTAAAAATTGCATTCAGCTAAATGTTTTAATAGAATTGCATTTTATTTCGCCATAATTTGTAATTCAGCAAAGTATTCTAGCTGAGTTTTTATTACCCAAATTAATTTTTGGAAAATTCAGCTACACTTGTTTTTCAAAATATTCAATATTGTTCCGGTTTTTCTCAATTCAGCTAAGATTTGTACCCATTATAAACTAATTCAGCTCACTTTTTCTTTATAAAACTAAATTCAACATTGATTTATACGTCAAAACGTAATTCAGCAACAGTTTTCTTCACATTACTAAATTCAGCAGATTTGATGGAAAAATAATTGGTATAAAATCTTAATAAAAAAAATCAATTCAGCTGAAAAAAATAAATTCAGCAAATATTTTCCAATCGAAACGCTTATTCAGCTTCTTTAATATTTATGAAAACTTTATAAAAATTTCTCAATTCAGCTAAGTTTTTCATTTTTAAAGCCCAATTCAGCTATGTTCCACATTATTAAAATCCCATTCAGCTATGTTTTTTTTTTTTTTTTGACTAAAATTACATTCAGCGTAGTACATTCAGTGTTAATAACACTGATTCCCAATTCAGCTATGTATTTCTTTAAAAAATCAATAATGCAATTCAGCTGAAAAAAAATTCAGCTAACATTTTCTAAACAAAACACGAATTCAGCATCTTTAATATTTATAAAAACCTACATAAAATTCAATTTTGTTGATATTTTTCTTAATTCAGCTATGTTCTTCATTATTAAAAACCAATTCAGCTACGTTTTTTCTTGACTAAAATTACATTCAGCTTAGTATTTGTTATGTTAATAACACTAATTCCAATTCAGCTAACTATTTCTGTAAAAAAAAAAATCAAAAATTCAATTCAGCTGAAAAAAAAAAATAAATTCAGCTAACATTTTCCAAACAAAACGCATATTCAGCTTCTTTAATATTTATGAAAAACTACATAAAATTCAATTTAGTTAATTTTGTTCTTAATTCAGCTAAGTTTTTCATTATTAGAAACCAATTAGGCTATGGGTTTTCTTGACTAAAATTACATACAGCTTTGTATTTGTTATACTAATAACACTGATTCCAAATTCAGGTAACTATTTCTGTTAAAAATTGAAATTAAAAAAATCCAATTTTTTTCTATTTTGGCGCCCAATCTTTTTTAACTTCCTCTGTATAGATTTAAATAAAGTTTCAAATTAAAAACGATCCAACTACCAACATTCTAAAATCACTTAAATTTTATAAAAGCTCTTTTTTATTTAATTCGCAAAACAGATAAACTTTTGCAATATCAGCAAAATAAGCTTTCACTTGAGTAAAAGCTTACCTTGTCAACAAAAACAACACTAACATAAATATGACTCAAGAATAATTCTTTTGAAAAAAGCAAATCAAATACAAATGAAATTAAAAGTATATTTTTTGCGGAGGTCTGTCCTCTCTATTCATACTCAGTGGGCCCCCGCGCCAATAGCTAGCTAACCGAATATCGAACATTCACAACAACTAAAACTATGTGAGCGAGACGATAAGTAGAGCTTTTTGCACGGTTGTTGTTTGCTGAACAAAAAAATATAATTTTTTCGGTTTTTTTTTTTCATTAATTTCTTGAATTTTGAGTGAGAAGCACACACACACGGTGGACGCCTCATAACGGTTGTTTATTAAACAAATTATCAAATATTTAATTTGCAAAGAAAATAAGCATTTTTTGTCTATGCTATATTGTGTGTGTGTTTGTGTTTATTCTTAACTCCAAAGCATAGTTGTTTTTATCAATGACGCAGTCACATTTACCCGCCTTTTATTCGCGTAACGGTTAAGTTGTAGTGTGTGCGCGTTGTTTTACCTTTCATTATGAATCAAACAACAAGTGTCATTATTGCATTATCAACTCCCCACACTCTGCATCTTCTTCTTCTTCTCCAACGGTTAATTGTTCACAATTATGTATACGAACAGTGCTGCTGCTGCTACCACAACTGATATGTCATAAACAGAAAATAATAAATAAACAGATAACAACAACAACTATAACACATGCTAAAATAAACAAAAAATAAAAAACAATAATAAATTATAACAGGGCAGGCAGCCCGGCAACCAAAGAAAAAAAGCAAATTTATAAATCATTTCTTAATCGAAGAGCTGCGAGCAAGTGAGAGTGTTGTGTCAAAGTATTAGGTGTGTCTGGTTACTTTCCCTGCAGGAATTGTCCAGTAACTTCTTTCTGAGAGAGTAAGGTAGTTTTATTCTCTTTTGCAAGAAAAATGCGAAAAGTAAACAGACGGCATCCCTGCAGAAGCTTGCAACTAATCAGCTGATTTGTCAAAACAAACCAATTTGTCCGCCATTATAAAGAATTAAAAGAAAGAAAACACAACCAGTTTAACACACACACTGATCTTCTTCCGTCATTTTTCTAAAAATGCTGGAAATAGTCTTTTATTTTCCTATTACATATTAATACTTACGTTTTTCTCGTTTTGTAAAGTTTTTCTCCAAAAACAATTAGTCTTGCTAAAAGCACAAAAATAAATAAACAAACAATAGAAAACATCTGATTGAATGTCGATGTATGAGAAGAAGAAGAGTTGCAAGAGATTGCAAGAAGAAATTTTTCCAGCAAGAATTTGCAAACTCTCACTGAAAGAACTGTCAAAATTTCTCTCTCCAACCGCTCTCTTTTGCAGAACTTTTGGGTTAACAGACGACTTCCAGTAACAATTTGTAACAATTGTTACAAACTTTAGGGTAACCAGACACACCTATTGTAGGAGGAAGAAGAAGAAGGGGGAGAGAGACGCAACACATCAAATTAATCGTGCGAAAAAAATCAACAGGTGAGAAACCCCACAATAACACCAACAACAACAAACCGCACTAGACAATTAGTGGCTCTCTGAGTACACAACAAAGCCGATCAAGAGAACGAACGCATGACGTTCACACTATGAGAATTCTTTAAGTATGAGGGGGGTTTGTTTTTTGCAAAGAAAACAATCATAAATTGAATAAATAACAAAAAAAAATAAAAGAGTTGAAATAAAAAACAATATTCTACATATAGTGTGTGTATGTTATCTATAACTCAGTTGTTGAACAAATAACAAAAAATATAAAACGAAAAAAAAAATAAAATTATTAAATGTTTATGGGAATGTTTTTAATTTCGCATTTTTTACACCTCACACAGTAGTGGGGTAAAAACAAGTGACATTAGTGAGACCTATTATTAAGATTTTTTATAAATATTTTTAATATAATTCCAATATTTTTTGCCGATCCCGTTTGTTTACTACTATATGTGTGTATGGAAACACTTTGCGGCAGGTTAGGCCCAGCCACATGTGATTTCATGAAAAAGTGTGAATTGAAAAAAAATTGCCTACTTCATTATCTGATAACTTTTTAAGAAAAATTTCCATTTGTCATTAGATTATGCATCTGATACCTATTTTGCATAACGCAAAAACAATTTGTTCTTATCTCAGAATTATTACGGAAAGAGAGATTTTAAAGAGATAGAGAGAGAACCGTGCGAAATCTGTCCTTAGAATCTGGCTTTTTAATGGATTTAAAATTCTTTAAGCCCGAATCCGTCGGAGAGATACATACTTCAATTTGGAGATCTGTAGGGTTTTTATATGATTTTCTAATAGTTAAGAATGACCATCTACCGGTCTTGGGAAGGCCATCTACCGGTAGGTAAGCCATCTACCGGTTATATACCATTAGGTTATACATCTGATATTTTTCATAACGCAAAAACGTTATTTTTGGTTCTCATCTCAGAAATGTTACGGAAAGATAGATTTCGAAGAGAGGTGGAGAGAGAGAGGACATTATCACCGTATGAAATCTGTCCCTAGAATCTTAGTCTTTTATAAGTTGAAAATTCTTTAAACACAGATCCGTCCGAGAGAAAAATATGTCGATATGGAGATCAGTATGGTCTTATATTATTTCCTATAGTTATTTATTTTATTATTTGTAATACCTTCGGTAGATTTTCTAATTTTAAAGGATCTTCTGTACTAGAAGAAGGCTTCCTTTAGTTGTTCTCATATCAGAATACCTCGTAAATCTTTTTGTAAAAGTAAAAGAAATCCTGTAGGCCTTCTGTTGGTTTCCAAATATAGAGAACCTTTTATAGTGTCTTAAATAGGCCTCCTCTAGGTATGTTATACATAAAATATTCCCTAGAGGTTTTCATATTAAGTTCTTTTTTGTATTTTTCTTCTACTTTAAATAAAAATTATAACCCAAAACTGTAGAATACCACCGCTATGTTCAATTTCTCCCCCATAAAGTCTTTCTGAGTAAAAATATGTCCGACTCTCTTCAATATGTATTGCCTAGAAACAAAGTACACAGACATACCTATTATTGAAAACGTGCTATTGTTATTTTTTGTATATGCGTTTTTTCGCTCGCTAGACAATGAGAGTGATTGACCTTGTTACTTTCATATTTATTATTAATCATTTTTGTTTTGCATTTCTAATTATCAGGGCTCGGAATATAAATAACATTAAAAAAATCAGAAAAAATATTTATTTAAATAATTTAATATTAGTAGGTCACAAAAAAATTAAATATTTTTATGAAATATATAACGCACAGTAAAATAATGTATTGTTTACACATATTTAATTAAGGAGTTTATGAAAATTTTAAGTTTTTTTGTGTACGTGAAAGTAAATTCGATGTATCGCCAGATGTCTATATTTGAAGCGACACATTGCAACTGTTAGAATTTTATTATTCTCTTTTCTTATTGGAATTTTTTTCTCCTAATGTTTTATCATTCCAGAAAATCAACCCACATGCCTAAATACATTAAAATCAAATATAAAAAAATGCCAATCATGTTAGCATAATTGTCGTCATTAATTTATCGCATTATCTGCTCTGTATATTTATTATTTCAATTCCAAAGTCTAGTTATTAGAATGATAAAAACAAATAAATATCTGTACTAATACTACTTAATTTGGTAATTTACGGTATTTGCCTTTTTGCCATAATAGAATGCCAAATTTTGTTCCCATAATTATGATCACTCTCTCTCCCTTATACAGAGTTATTCATGTTCTCTACATTATACTCATTCAATGATTTACGTATTATAATGACATATATATATATATCCACATTGAAATGTATGTATAAATGTACAAATATATTCCTTGAGTCATTCATTTCGTTTACGATCTTATTGTGTATTAATTCATTTTTTTCTTTAATTTTTTTATTTATTTATATTATTATTTTTGCATTTTCTTTGACAACACGTTGTTTTTATTTGGCTCTCGCTCGCTCAGTCTCTCGTTTATACTACTCATCTCTGCACAATAACGTCATCAGTTTCAATGTTATTTTGCTTCTTGTTGTTGTTGTCTTCACTTCTCTTGATGTGATTGTTTTGCGAATGCTATAAAGTTCATACGACAGTATTAGGCAATCGGGTTCTTGTGTTCTGGTATATAATACAAAAAAAATATATATATTTTAATAATACCCACCGCAACAAATATTCATAATGAAATAGAAAATAAAAAGAAATATGTGTATATATGTTGCTACGTAAATATCTATATATTAATGTACTAATAATCTAGTCATGAACAGTGGTTAGAAGGTGATAAAATGTGAAAAAAAATAATAAAATTAGGTGTTTTTTATAAACCATTTTTATAATATATTTAATAACAGAATAAATAAATTAAAAACACTATTAAATTAAAATAGTATTACAATGAAACATTAAATATAAATATGAAGAAAATAAAAATAATATTTTGTTCATATTTAATTGCAATTAAAAACCATTTAAATATGAAATAAATTAAATAATAAATATAATTAAAATAATAAAAAATATAAATATGTATATAAATATTATGTTTTAAAATAATTAAAATGATAAAATAATGAAAAAAATATTTAATAAATATAATTTTCAAGTTTTAAAAATAATTATAAAATAAATTAAAAATTCATTCAGATTTAGACATAGCTCCCACACATATTTTCGTCAGATTTTACGTAAAAGGTGCATTAAATAACGTACTGAATTGAGTCTAGAGTGATGTGTGTGAAGTTTCGTGAAAATCGGTTAGATTTCGATATAGCTCCCATATACAGTTCCGACCGATTTTATATAAATGTTGCACTGAAGACATAAAATATTTCTCCGATAACGATATAACTTTGCACAGGGTACTTTTCCACGCAGTGGGAAACAAAAATACCTAATTATAGCCGATTAGTTTAAAAAATGAAGGAAAGCCTTAAATTTGGGGTACCGCTATATGGGGGCTACCGTAAATAATTGGCCGATATATCTCATTTTCAATACCAAACATCCCAGAAGTAACATTAATATCCGTCCGTTTGAATTTCTTCAATTAGATCGCTGTTTTTGACGTCAGATGTCAAAATTTTTGTGCGAACATGTAGTTTGATTAGACGAACAATATTCAATTTCGAATTTTTCTGTAGTTACGTCCGTTTGCATTTATGATGACGATATGTATATCACATTTTATTAGTTTATAATTATTTTATTTTTTTAATCTATAAATTATTTATTTTATAAAAAATATATTTTAAATATTTTTTATAGTACGTTTACATTATACCAAATTTCGTTAACCCTGTAGGTTCAAATTGTCAATTTCATTGTATATGTGTCAAATAAATCCTCATCAAGTAGGTTAACCCGGTAAAAAGTTCTAATGTAAATTCCGTCGTATTCAATTTATGTGTTATGCTCATCTATTTCTAAATTATTAATTAATATTTTTTATTCTTTAATTTAAGTTATTTTATATTCCATATTTCATTTGTTTCAGTTTTTGAAACACTGTGCCCGTTCTGTTTACTCATTTGGTTCAAATTGCACATTGTTGTTTTTATTATTTTTGTGTGTGTGTGTGTATTTTTTTTAATTTTTTTTTTTTTTGCTTTTGTGATATTTTGCGCTGTTTACTATTTTTAAAATGCTGAGTCATCATTCTTGTTCTTTGACAAAAAGCAAATGAAATACTCTCAATGAAATAAATATGTATGCACATATGTGTGTTACTCTGATGCAGTCTTGTGTGTGCGAGAGAAAGAGCGCAGATAAGAGAATATGGTGAATATTGTTATACTTTAGATATTTTTGATTGTTTTAACCGCGGCATCCCAAGAAGGAGCAACAAGTTGTTGCTGATTTAAATTACTGTTGGAATATATTTTGGTTTTTCTTTTTTTAAAATAATAATTCTTGAAGAATGACAAAACTTTGGTTTACATTGAGAAAATTGCATGTGTCGCCAGAGGCCTTTATGTATAAACCACGTGAAAATGTCATATTAAGCCATGGTGAGAATAATAATTATCAGTGTGAGATGTAGACAGATGATGATTACAGGGTTGCCATATTTGTAGAATTTAAGAAATAAAGTGATGCTTTAATAAAAACGATTTTTTATTTTGTTAATGATTTAAATTCATTTAATAAAATAATGTAATGTTTGTTTGTATGTAATGTTTGCGAATTTAATTGTCAATTGTAATAGATTTTAGTTAAATGATGATTTTTTTAATTGGCAAAATTTTTTTTTTATAAAAAATTTCCATAACTGTGTCATTTCGGAATTGAATATAAAGATATTAAAACTTATATAGGTTTCTCCTTTTAAATTTTCCCATTGTTTGTGTCACTAAACAACAATAAAAATAAAAGAATAAAAAAAAACAACACAACACTAAAATAAAATACTCGATAAGAACTGAATGAATTGTGTGTTGGGAACAACTACGGAGAATCAGAAGAACGGTTATATGCCATAAAAAAAGTGTCACGTACTCATATTCACTTACTCACCTCCACTTTTTTGCAAAACACACAAAAAAATACACAATTTCATATCTGCAATGTGCATACACATATACATATATACTATATTTGTTAACTATATGTATATAATGCGGCGTTATCATCAAAACAACATATACGAATGATTTGCTTTTGCTAAAACGAGTAATTTGTTGCTGTTTTTTTATTTTTTATTTGTTTGAAAAGAAACTGAAATCAATGGAAATGTTGAATATTTGTGCTGAGTCAGTTAGTAGTGAAAACTTCCTTTACCTTGACATGTTTTTTTCTTTGGGTTTTAGTTGAATGGCTGTTAAGTACCAAGGTACCAGAGTACCAAGTTTCCCTTTCATTGGTTTTCCTTTTTCAATTTAATTTTGCATAAAATTTACATCTTTTTTATTTACAAAAAACCCTACTAATATTCCATTTTAATTTTCTTCTTCCTTTCAGGCTTCTGTCGCATGGTCGATGTCAACAACAGCACCAGCAATAATTCCTCTGTCTTGGGTCTACCCACTGGCGCTGGTCATGCCAGTGGTGCCGGCATTACTGGCGGTACAGGTTCTACAGCTGGTTCTACCACTAGCGGTATATCAATGAGTGCTGCCAGTGCTGCTGCTGCCAACGGTGGCGCCAACGCCGCCGCCGGCGCTATGACAAATGATTTAATGAATGCCACTGGTGCCACGGGTCAAGCTGTTGCCGGTGCCACAGATCGTCTGGACGCTTCCAGTGATAGTGCTGTTAGTTCTATGGGCTCAGAGCGAGTACCATCCCTTTCGGATGGCGAATGGGGTGAGGGTAGCGATTCGGCCCAGGACTATCATCAGGGCAAATATGGCGGGCCATATGATTACAGTTACAACAACACCACAACCAATAATCGTCTAAATGATGGCAGCCGCCAACCACCCGTAGCCCAAAAGAAACATCACATGTTTGGCAAACGTTTCCTAAATGAACAACCCTCGGCCGGTAATGTGGGCGCCACCTCGGCAGCCAATGGTCCAGCTGCTGGCAGCCTTGTACATGGCGGCCCAGCCCATAGCATTAAATATGAATATGAAGCATATCCCCCGGTAGCTGGACTACATGAGAACATCAATGGCCATGGTTTGGATAATGGTGGTGCCATGGGTGGTCCCGCCCTAAGCAAAGATCACCATCATGCCTATGGCCCAGGAGCCTATTCCCTTGATTTCTCTTTGCGTACACCACGCACTCCCCATGAATTGGTACAGCATAATCACACATATACCCTGCCGCAGGGTACCGGCTCCTTGCCACGCCCCCAGCAACGTGACAAGAAACTCTCCACATCATCGTCCACCAAATCCGCCAAATCTAGCAGCCACAACAACAGTAGCAGTGGCAGCGGCGGTGAGGAGGAAACCTATATGACACGCGATGAAAAACGTGCCCGTGCCATGAACATTCCTATACCAGTTTGCGATATCATTAACTTGCCCATGGATGAATTCAATGAACGTCTATCGAAATATGATTTGAGTGAAAATCAACTGTCATTGATTCGTGACATTAGACGTCGTGGTAAGAATAAGGTGGCCGCTCAAAATTGTCGTAAACGTAAATTGGATCAAATTTTGTCGTTGGAGGATGAAGTGAAACAGGTGCGACGTCGCAAGGACGAATTGAATGCTCAGCGCGAGAGATTGTTTGCCGAACGCAAAAGGGTTTCGAATAAGTTCAGCGCATTGCATCGGCATATCTTTCAAGTAAGTAGAGTTTTTTCCTCAAGGGTTTTCGAATGAATTTTAGAAATGGAAAATCTGAGGGGAAGAAATATTTCAAAAGACATTTTTGAAAAATATATCTACAGATATTACTGTGAAAGGATTTTTCAAAAGTCTCTCCGGCATCCTAAGGAGGAGCAACAATTTATTGCTGATTTAAATTACTGTTGGAATAGATTTTGTTTTTTTTTTATTTTAATTTCTTTTTAAATAATAATTCTGTATAAATTACAAAACTTTGGTTTATATTGAGAAAATTGCATGTGTCGCCAGACCCCTTTATAAGCCACTTTGAAAATGTCACATTAAGCCATGGGGTTGCCACATTTCCACTGTGAATTTTTTTTCCAAACTCTCTCCGTTTTAACGGCATCCCAGCGAGAAGCAAAATTTTGTTGCTGATTTTAATTACAGTTGGAATATATTTTGTTGTTTTTTTATTTTAATTTCTTTTTAAATAATAATTCCTTGAAAATTACAAAACTTTGCTTTACATTGAGAAAATTGCATGTGTCGCCAGACCACTTCATGTATAAGCCACCTGCCATATTAAACCATGGTGAGAATAATTATTATCAGTGAGATGTAGACATATTTGATCATTTTAAGAGAATTCATTTAATAAAATATAGCTATTTAACCTTTTTAAATTAAATTGTCAATTTCAAAAAGTCTCCTTTCAAAATGTCTGATTTTATTGAAGTGAAAAGAGCAGAAATTGGTCCTACCTCCCGTATGGAAATTTCTCCCACTATGAATGATGTGTCTTTTGAACACCTGTTTCTATATGAAGGAGATGCCAGATCGAAAGAAAATTTAACATGTTTTCATAACAGAGATGGAAGTTTAAAAAAAAAATCCTAAATTTTTTTGTTTTCTGAACTGCCCCCGTACTTTCAATTCGATAATTTATAATAATATTTTATTTCAAATTTTTTTAATCTTTTTTATTAATTTGCTATTTTTTTCTTCTATTTTTCCAGTATTTACGGGATCCCGAAGGCAATCCCTGCTCACCATCAGAATACAGTCTACAACAGGCAGCTGATGGCTCCATATATCTCTTGCCCCGGGATGCGGCCGCCAATAAAAATGACACCAACAATGCTGCTAGCGTTCTGTTGAATGGTGGCAGTGTTGGCAGCCCTCTAAATGGCAATGCCATGCCAACACATCATCACTCACATATGGGTGGTGGCAGTGTCGCCGCTGGCCATTCAGCGTCCGGTGCTGGTGGTGGTCATCATTTGCATCAAGTGCCACAACAGCAGGCCTCGCTGCATACAGCAGCTGGCTCATTGGCCCACAGCCATGTGCAACACCATCACCAGCATCAACATCATCATCAGCAGCAACAACAGCATCATCAGCAGCAGCAGCAACATAATCCACAGACAACACATGCCCATGGCCATCCCAGCACAACAACACATGGAGGAGGCAGCCAGCAACAACAACCGCAAAAAGATTGAAACTTATTGTGGCAACATTATGCAGCGCATTGGTTTCAAATACATCCTCCCTCACAACAGCAACAACAACATCATCCTCATTTTCATCGTCATTGTCATTTTTCACAAAATACTACAACTACTAAGACAAGCACTTGTACTTTAAGCTGGCCTCCGCACAGGCACAATAATCAACGGAAACATCGCCATCATCAGCATCTTCTTTCTCCGAAGCATGGAAATTCGCATTTCTGTTTTGGCTTACATACTGCAACACATCATTATCCTAATCATCATCCTCCCTCCTCTCATGGGCATTATGAGTCTACTTACTATTGATTACATTATTATTATTTTTTGTTTATTATTATTTTTTTAACTATATCATTATTATATTAATAACAATTCAGGGGATTTTTATTTTCTTAATAATTTCTTTTTTTTTAATTGTTAAGCAAAAGGATTATTGGGATTATTACAACAACAACAACAAGAAAACCAACACAAAAAAATATGAAAAAACCATATAACAAATATTAAAAAATATATTGAAAATGTTTTATAAATATTAAGGAGCGTTTTTTAAACTTTATTTTTAATTAATTAATAAATGTATAAGTGTATAATATTTTACTATACACCATTAAGTATGTATGTATGAATGTGATTTGAAAACTAAACAAACAAAAAAATTGTAAAAAACTATTATAAAATTTAGAAATTTTAAATAAAAAAACAAGAAACAATTGCATTAGATTTCGTTGCAACAACTAAACGAAATCTTTTCTTAACAAATAACAACAAGTTTTCTATACAGAAAAAAATTATGTGGTGTATTCTTATTTAAAATGAATTTTAGTGTATTTTTTCTCTTCTTCTTCTTCTTCTTTATGATGGACACATAGTAATATACATATGTACTAAAAAAAACTAATTGTGATTATATCACAAAAATGTTATTACTTTTTTTATTTTCATATTATAGGCTGATAATTTTGATTATAAGACAAGCCAGAAAACGTAAATTTTAATAAACAAAATTCAGTTTTACATTTTGTTTGTCAGTTTAAAATTTATTTTGTTTTTCATAATCATTTTATTTGCCTATAATTATTAATTTTGTATTTAATTAATTTGAACAAAATTTTTTTATGAATTTGTGATAAATTATGGTTTTTTATTATATTATATAATTTAAAAAAGATATCAAAAATAGCTTTTTTTGTTTACATATATATTATTTTTTTCTTGGAAAAATTTACTTTTTGGTTAAATGGATTATTTTATATGTATATTCTTAAAAAATAAAAAGAAAATTATTATGTTTTAATTATATAATGTAGTGCTACTCTATAGTGTTCCAAATTGTTTCTTCTTTTCATTTACACTTTTTTTAGGTGTATGTATTTAAAAAGTAATAATAATTACATAATAACATCTTTCTACACAAAATATGTCCCTAATATAGTTACTATACTAAGCTGCTTTTAGTTTGTAAACATAGATACATATTTTCAAAAAAAAAATAATACATATATAACCCATTTTTTACAAATGTAAATACTATTGTAATTTAAATTATTATTTTTAAATAATATATAAACAAAAATTTTCATTTTTTAATGAAATTGTTAATTTTTTCTTTTTTTATTAAAATAACTTTTATCAAATACCCTTTGTTGCTCAAAATTTGGTCAGTCAGTTACAAAAATGGATAAATTGGTGAAAATTTAAAAAAGATTTAAATTGGTTCTATTTCCGATTAACCTCTATTTGGCTCTATTTCCGATCAACCTCGTTTATTTTGAAAGTGATTTAAGTCCATTTTAGATTCTGGTACACTTCCTTGATTTCTGGTAGATTTTACAAATCGTAATAATATTTTAAAGTTTACAAAGCCTCAAAAAAATTAATACCACTTAACAATATTTAAAAAATATCAAACACTTACACATTGCAGTAGAAGGAAAAAAATGGACTTAAATTACTTTTAAAATAAACAACTCATTTAGTGAAACGTTTGTATACCCACAGTCTTATGGCTAATGAGGTTATCTATACACTTTGCTGAGCAAAAATGTGCCTCATCGAAATATTGGTTTTAGACACCATATTTCTTTGGACCAAATCCATTTGGGTAGATTTACAAATGTCAGTCTGTCTGGCTGGCTGACTGGGGTGCACAAAAACTCTCGAAGATAGTCACCGTATTCATACAAACTTTGCACATTGTAATATTTCATTCAACCCTAAATCAAGTTCGAAGATGGGGGAGCGATATTCCTCTTCCTGGTACCTCCCCCACAAAATTTGGTTGAAAATTAATTTTATAATTTGGGATACGTAGTCGAGCGTAAAAGTTGACTTAAGTCTTTTCGATTTTTGCCTTTGACTAAAAATTCGACTTTTCTATCCTTCAATACTCAATTTCGGCTTTTAACACTATTGAAAAATCGACTACAAATTTGATTATTTACATAAATTGTTTGGGATTTGTGCTAATAAAAAAACAAATTATGAAGAAAATCGAAAGTTGATCCTCAAAGATCAAAAGTCGACTTCGGCTTTTAGTCTTTTTAATACAAAAAATCCATTAATCGATTAATCGAAAGTCGATTTACTTATCAATATTTATAAAAATACTTGAGCGGACTATCTGATTTGAACCAAGATGAAGATGGGACCCATAGGCCCACTTCAACTGTTACCTTCCCCACAAAGGGTCAAAATTTCCAAATTTTTTAAATCTAATCGTTAGGAGATTAGTATGTCCAATTTTATACACACTTTGCACACCATAATATTTCTTCCAATCTTAAATCCAGTTCGAAGATATCTGATTTAAGATTGATATCTCCCCCAAAAAAATAGTCAACATTTTTATAAATCCAATCCGATTTGACCCAAACTTTTTGCATATAATATTTTTATCAATCCTAGATCAAGTCCGTCCACTTCTTCGGGTAGCTCCCCCACAAATTGTCAAAATTTTCATTTTTTTAATCTATCACAAATCAAATGGAATGTCCGATTTGATTCATCAACTCAAAAACTAAGTTCAAAGATGGGAGCCATCGGTCTATTCCATCTGCTACCTTCTCCAGAAAGTGTCAAAATTTTGAATATTTGTTAATACAATAAAAATACAAAATACACACATCGTAAATTTGTTTCAAACTTAAATCAAGTTCGAAGATGGGAAAAATCGGTCCACTCATGCTAATAATACCTCCCACACAAAATGGTCACAATGTTGCTGAAAACGGATTTTTTATCTGGAGAATGGATTTTCCGATTTGAACTAAACTTTGCACAATCTAATGTTTTAACCATGCTTGCATAATATTGGAAGATGGGACCTACTGGTCCATTCCTTCCCACAAAAGGGTCAAAATGTTGAGAATTTTTAAAATTCACATGGAGCGAACGGAATATTCAATTTAATCCATACTTCGAACACGGTAATATATTTACCTTTTTTTAAAATGTTGAAATTTTTTAATCCAATACCATGATAATGAAATGTCTGGTTTGATCCAAACTTTGCAAACCCACATTAAATTCTAAGATGGGTCTATAGGGCAACCTCATCTGGAACCACTCCAAAAAGTGGACAATTCTTTGAAATTTTGTTTTCTTTACATTTTTTGTTGCTAAAACGAAATAAAACACATTAACGACGATTTTTTCCCAAATTTTTGTAAAGTAGTGGTATTTTACACTTTCTTAGATATTGTTTATGTTTTAAAAATGTTAAATTACTTAAATTCCCCTGAATAATCCTTGTTTTATTTTTTCCTAAACAAATTTTTAAGATAATTTTTACGAGGGCAGTTCGGAAAGCGCGGTAGAAACAGAAAAAAGTTAAGTGTTTTGGAAACTTCCATCTCTGTTATGAACACGTGTTAATTTTTGTTTCGATCTGGCAACTCCTTTATATAGAAACAGGTGTTCAAAAAAGACGCATCCGCATTTTTTTACAATGGAAATATTAGAAATGCGTGCTTAGATTATAAAAAATTGCGGGTGATCCACCATTGATTAAAACCGAATAATAAATCCTATGTTTTTCCCAAAACCTCGGCAAACCACAGACTGAGGGTATATATGTCTGACGGCAACTCCGACTGACACTTTTTTTACTTGTTTTACTTAAGTTAAATTTAAAATATATACAATTTTTATTTGAATACAAATTCAATTAGATTTGGTGTCCCTAAAATAACCTTTAATTTTTTCCCATATTTCTCCCTCTCTATCTCACTCTGTAAATAAACTACAATAATAAAACGATTTTTATTTGGCTTAAACCTATATAACTGTTATATGGTATAAAAATAATAATAATTGTTATAACAACAAGCTATGTATAGTAAGACCTTTCTAAATTTTAAATAAAATTATCCAACAGCCTAACTATAGAAATATTTATTTTTAATAAATAACAACAACTTAAATATTATAACCACTTTTTAATATATAACTTTCTTTGCTTGTATATTATAATGCTTCGTTTTTTTTTTCAAGCAAAAAATAAATATCAAGGAAATTTGAGAAAAAAATTATGAAGAAAATACAATACTATTAGGCATTTACTTTTTATATTTAAAAATAATAGAGCATAAAAATAAAATAAGAATAAAAAAATAATTTAAAAACAAAATTAAAAATTGTATATGTAATTTACACAACTGAAATTTACTTTATATATAAACAAACAACAACAAGAAATCACAAATAATAACTACACTTATAATTAATGAAATTATGTGTAGAATAATAAATATTATATAATTTTACACACAATTTCATGTTTCATTTTTAATTTGTCTTGTATATAATATTTCTTCAAAAATAGTATAATTAAAAAAATTGTGTACACATTTTATGCTATGAAAAAATAATAATACATTAGAGAGTGCATAATAAGAAAATAATTTGTTTTCAGTTTTTAAGACTTGAATAATATATTGAATGTAATAATAATAATATTATTATATTAATATTATAATATAATATATAACAAACAAATAAAAAATAAAATAATATGTACTTTATCTAAATGTATATTATGGAAAAAAGCAAACAAAAAATACACAAAAACAACAAACTAAAAAAATAAATTTTAAAAGGATGTTTTAATTTCTTTATATTGCTGGTAAAAATATTATAGAAGGGCCCAAGGGGGACGCAATAAATTTAACTTATCTTCGATCGAGAAGATCTCTGTGTACCATCAACCTTTATGTGGGCAGTGAAGCTACGAAAAGTCGGTCGAGTCACATATTAGAACCTACATTGTAAATTGATTTCCATTGTCGCCATTTAAAATACATATAGGACCATCAAAATATAATAAAAATGTTGGAAATTGGGAAAAGTGAATTCACTTTGCCAAAAATGGGAATGTGAATTCACAATAAAATTCTCATTTCCAAGCCAAATCCTAATTTTGTTCGCTTTCACGACAAGTTTGGAGCACAATCGATCATTTATCCACTGTTACATATCTTTTGCTCTATTTTGAAAGGCCCTTGCAAAAAATCGTCCGGAAAAAAATTACATTACCTTCCGATTTCCGGTAAATTGAAGATTTGGATTGGTTTTTTTATATTGATTATTCTTAGACATTTTGAATCTTATTACGTGATAAATCTCCATATTAAAAATTATCAATATTAGGTTCGTTTGTTTAGTCAATAATTTGTACAAATTGTTACAAAATGCTGTTCGTTTACCCAAAAGTCCAGTAAAAGAGAGTGAATTTAGAGAAAGACAGTTGTTTTACTGAGTATTTGCAAATTCTTATAAGGAACATTTACTCAGTAAGAATTTTCTTGTACCATCAGCTGATATTTAATCAGCAGTTTTTGTAAAAAATCAACAAAATCGTTCTTATTTAATCTTACCGGCCACAACCCTTTTAAATGTTTGAGGGGGGCACATAACACTAATTTTCCGCACGTTATCCGTTTTTTAATAAAAATTCTGTTTTTTTTTTGCGCCAAATTGTTCCTTGTTTTAATCAGCTGTATCGATATAATTTTTCACCGGATGTTGTTTGTTCACTTTTTGCAATTTTTTCTCCTGGGAACGAAAAATTAGTATTTACTGGCTTTCCTTTTCATTGCAAAATTTAGATCATCAAGCTCGACTCGAAAGAGTATAAATAATCACTTAAAATCACTTTCAAATGATCAAAAAATTAAAATAACAAAAAAAAAAAGTATTTACTTTCTGCAAATTCTTACTGAGTAAAAGTTGCTGGAAATGTAAACGATCGCATCTATTTATGCAACAAATGTTCACCTTTCAATTAACTGTATTTTAAGGATTTAAATTCTCCTTTAAAAAAATATCAATATTGATCCATAAATTTGTTCCCCAATTTTTCAGCCGTTAAAGTTAAATTTTTTAAGTGTACTTTTCGTCGATCAATACTTTAACCTGAATTAACGAGAAAAATATTAAAACATTTATAAAAGATTCCATTAATTTTTATTAAATTGTTAATTTATATATTTTTCATAATTTGTTTAAGAGGGATGTCATTTCAATGTGAATTACCACATAGAACCAATGAAATCAAGAAGAAGAATACACTGTGTCACCATTGTGAATGGTTACTCTATTGTTTATTGTCTGTGCAAAATTACGTGTGGCAACATTGCAAAATACAATCAATCAGTGTGTTTTTTCGACAGTCTATCTTCCTTTGAGAAAAATTTTGCAATTTTTTTTTATTAAATAGAATATTTACGCCCCAAAATGGAACAAATGGAAGTTGATGTTGATATGACTGCCAAGGCGAGTACTTCTGCTGCAGCCGCTGCTTCCGGTGAGGGTAGTAACAAAGTATCAAATACCGGTCCGAGTGCAACAACATCCTCCTCTTCGAATGTTATGGCTGATCCAAGTACTGTGCCGTCAGTAACCATATCACTACATCCTTTGGTTATAATGAACATTTCGGAACATTGGACACGCATACGAGCCCAGGCGGGAGAAGTTTGTCAGGTCTATGGTGCATTGATTGGCAAACAAAAGGGTCGTAATATTGAAGTGATGAATTCCTTTGAATTGAAAACAGATGTTGTGGGCGATGATGTCTTTATCAGTGTGGATTATTATATGGCCAAAGAGCTGCAATATAAGCAGGTATGAGAGTGTGGGGTAGGTACAAGTCTAGTTTACACGTTCGATCCGCATTTTTGGGGAATGGAATTTTCTATTGTATTAATTTTGCGAATAGAACTTCCAATTGAATTAAAATTTTATATCAAATAGCCGGCATTTGTCGCTATCTGCACACAAGAAAAAAAAACTTTATAAAATTGCCGGTATTTGACGAACTTAAGGGGCGATATTTCAGAAAGTATACAGCCTTATTCTGGATGTCAATTCCACGTGAATTTACTCGCTCTTCCCCTTCGTCTTATTCTGGACAACATTTTTGTGTGAATTTTTTCGCATTCTCGCTTTTGCCTTATTCTGAATGAAGTTCGAAAGCGAAAAATCCGCTTTGGGGAAAAATTAGGTATTCTGGATTACAGGGAGTAGGAGAATGAGATGAAATTTTGTGCGAATTTTTTCGCTAATAAATTCAAAGTGAATTGACTACAAAAACATAAGTAATAAATATTTTTATGAAAAATATTAACACAATACTTATTCTATGACGATTTAGAATATTATAAATGATAGTAAGCAAATATTTATCTGGAAAACAGCAAATAAAATGCCTTTGGAAATCCTATTGATAATGATGCATGCTGAACCAAATATTGCCAAGGAATGTATAAAGGTAATAATGAATATTTAAGTCGAGTTTGATGCATTTTGGAGGCGAAAACCAGACATTTTGGGTGAGGATGTGTATCTCAAGAAGAAAATTATAGAAAAACCAAATTTGCATAATGAGCCGCTTAACAGTAAAAAACTTAAATAAAAATTATGAAACAAAAAAAAAAAAAAAATACAAAAAATATTTTTTTTCAAAATTATCGTTTGCATTATTTGAAGGAAGAAATAAAGGAGTAGGAGCATAACAGGCCACTTTAAGAATTTGGAGAGATAAAATGTCGAAATTAAATAAAAAGGCACACAATTATGTGTCTGTGTTTTTCCCATCATAAAAAATGTTCTTTTATTTGTAATCTATTGTAGTTGTTGTACCAAAATGCATCAAAACTATGAACAGCTGTTTCACATGTCATAATGTAGGTTGCCATATTTTAAAACTTTAATTAATTTTCTTTTAATTACAAACCATTTATAAAGCGGATTCTTGATATTTCACATTTATATTGTTATAAAGTTTAAACCACAATAACAAGTAACAATTTTTAATAAAATAATCAATAAATAAAATATTGAAAAATATTACACAATTAAATTACAATGGGGCAACACACATTACAACTTAAATTACAATATGGCAACACACAACACAACTTAAATTATAATATGGCAACACGAATCTTTTTTTCAACCACCATTTTCGAAAACTCGAATCCGCATCTCGCATTTTTTGCGTCTCCCTATTCATTCAGAATAAGGCGAGAATGTGAAAGCGAAAATTGTTGTATATGCGAGATATCTCCCAGCGAATATCCAGAATAAGGCTGATAGTATAGAAAAGTATAGAAAAAAATCCGGACGATGCGTGTAGACTAGACTTATACCATGTCTGCCTAATAGTTCTTTCAGATAATTGCGAAATAATTCCCTTTCTTTGTTTTAGGTATTCAGTGATATGGACTTTATTGGCTGGTATACCACTGGAGAATACCCCACAGAAAAAGAATTGGCCATACATAAGCAAATTTCGGAAATGAATGAATGTCCAATTATGTTACAATTAAATCCCTTGTCACGCAATGTCGATCAACTGCCATTGAAACTCTACGAGTCGGTCATTGATATTGTTCGCAGTGAAGCAACTATGCTGTTGGTACCACTTACCTACACTCTGGCCACCGAGGAGGCTGAACGCATTGGTGTGGATCATGTAGCTCGCATGTCAACCAATGATACGGGTGAAAAATCATTTGTTGCCGAACATTTGGTTGCCCAAGAGAGTGCAATTAAAATGCTCAAGACTCGCATTAAAATCGTACTCAAATACATTAAAGATGTCGAGGCTGGAAAGCTTGCTGCCAATCAGGAAATTCTACGTGAAGTCTATGCTCTCAGTCATCGTTTGCCGGTAATGCAAGGCAGCGCCTTCAAAGAGGAATTCTATACACAATGTAATGATGTCGGCCTTATTAGCTATTTGGGCGCCATGACAAAGGGTTGCAACGACATGAATCATTTTGTTAACAAATTTAATGTACTCTACGATCGGCAAGGTTCGGGCAGACGTTTGCGGGGTTTGTATTATTAAATGAAAATAAATTTTTTAAATAATATTTACTATGTCAAAGAAAGGTATTTATTAATCACCCTAGGATATTCATCAACATGTGTCACCTTAGGTACCTCAACTCTAGTATGGTCGACCAGACCATAGCTGAACACAATTTAAAGAGAAGTGAAGGAAGTTTTTTTAATTTTAAATTTGCATTATTGATTGATTCATGATGATGACAAGATAACGAAATATAATAAAATGTGATGTAAAAATATTTTTTGGAAAATATCTTTAATTTTTTCTATGGAAGATTTTGGTTTTAAAATTAAGGGAGTATACTTTGGTATATGTGAAAAAAATGTATATATCGTGTTAAGGTGTTAATTTACTCACATGATTTGCTTAAAATAGGTACTGTAGTAACTCAGCAGCAATTACTTGGCGTAGTTCCATTCACAATTTTGTTTCCCCATTAAAACACTAATTTTCGTTTTAGATTTCACATCAATAAATTTCTTTAATTGTTCTCTGGGGTTTTCATATTCTTAACGGGTTCAATCACATTCTTTGTTTTTCATTTCACAATTCCAAAAAATATATTTTTTGTAAATATAAATAAATTTACGCTCTACAGTTTCATACATTTTTTTACTCTAAACCTTTATCCTTTACAATCATACAACTTTGAATCTACTTTAAATGCTATAGATTTTGAATCATTTCATGATTAGCCAAAAGAGAGGGTAGTTAGCACAACAATATTTGTTTCATTTTTAAAGTTAATTACTATTAAATTTTAAAAATAAAGTTTATAATTATTGAAAAAAAAGAAAATTAAAACAAAAAAGCTTCTTAACACAAAATCATTACATTTATATATTTTTATGTGATCCTCAACGATCCTCAATGCACAATGGAAAACGAGCGTAATTCCAAACGTATATTAGAACTATGAGATACACATTAGTGAGGTGACCAGGGATCTTAACAATGATTTTCTATCATAAAAAATTTTTGTGGTATGTCTACATTGAACCTGCACCAAAAAAAGAAAGACGACGAGCTGATAATCTATTCAAGTGTGCAATAGATGGACAGGTTCACTCTAAAATAACTAACATTTCTCTTACGTATACATTTGCATATTAAAACCTTTAAGTTTGCGGATTATCTTTCAACACTCTGCTCACTCCTTCTTAGCCGAAATGAGATTGGTTTTCCTTGTTTGTTTTTTTGGCATTTTTCTGAGTAGAGCTGTAGTTATCTAATGATTGTAATCCTCTAATTTAAGCGCACCAGCATATTGTTGTAAAAACTCCACTTCCAAGGGATGCATTTCTTTGGCGGGTATGACAAGAGAATGCAATGGACCTCCCATATCAGTGGAAGCCATATCTCGCAACGTTCGAACTACAATTTGTTGATTGTCATGACCGACACGTGCCAAGCCCACACACAACGATTGGTCATTCAGTATTGTATTACGTTCCAAAGCATCCTTTTTATCGACTATGGCCAATAGCTGCTGAGCAGCTTCGGCCACGGTCATAAAACGTGGTGGCATATATTCTTTTCTCCCCCGCATCAACGATTCAAGTGTGGGTTCCTTGACCTTGATGTCCAGCAGACACAGTGTGTGCATATTGTGCAAACGATTCAGCTTGATTTTATCATAAAAGCTATCGGGTTTCCAGGTTTCATCCCAATAGGGTATGGATACAGTTTCGCCAAATTTGTACAGCTGAAGGCCACAGCAACCGATGGCGTTCATAATGGACGCATTGTGTATCACTTTATAGGGGATTTTCTTTTCTTTGGCTCTCAATATGAAGTCGGTGTGCGTAGTGGCGCCAAATGGATCGCCCACAACCAACAAGGCCACATCTTCCTCGGCAGCGCCAGCTAATATTTCATCAGCACCCTGTTCGACAAGGTCACGATCTGCCAACAATACTGGACGTCCATAAAATGCTTCCTATACACAAAACACATTAGTAAAAACAAAAACAATGTAATTTATTTCATTTATCAACTGCATTTGTATTTGCACATGCAACTAACTTACCAATTCCTCCTTGGGACAGCCCAATATTGATGTATACATTTCCAAATATACACGACTACATTGTTTTACAATTTCAAGGCCTTTTACTGTAATGTCCTTGGGATCTCCCAAGCCCAAACCAATTAAATAAAACATGTCAGTAGTATTTGTAGTGTTGTTACTCTTTTTTTCAGTGGTGGCGTCGTCTAAACAATTTTTACCGTCGTACTACACCGCAATGCACTCGCCACCCTGTCGCACACAAATTCTCCGATTTTAATTGCACGTTTATGCTATGTTTTTGTAATTTTTGTGCGAAATTTAATCTACAATAATATCCTTTTTCGATGATTTTAGTTTAACTACACGTGCCTGAATGGGTTTTGTGCTTGTTTTGCTTGTTGCTTTTAGGGATGTACAGATCGATTTTCGACTAATCTGGTATTGGTGGTAAATATGGGAAATGTTTGGAAAGACTATTGGGAAATGTTTGCAAACAATTTTGATTCAAAATTTTATATTTTATTCAAATTAAATTCTAGTTTAATAAATTTATTTTAAAAGTTATTTAAATTTATTGCTTAAGGTCACTATAACCACTTGTTGATATGTCTGGAATGTGTTTACACGTGAATAATTATTAAACATTTTCAAATGTAGAGGGTTATTATTTTTATATGTATTACAGCCGTCAATTGGGGAATAGTGTGATCAAATTGTTGGAAATGTTTTCAGTTACACGAAAGACAATTTACAATTTATTAAATCGAGCAGAAAACAAAGAAAAGGAGATAACCCGAAGTGCAAAATAACACTCGTACTGAGCGCATAATTATTAGAACAATTATGCATAACCCTTAAATTTCCACAAGGACCCTGATATATAAGCCTTTAACTTTCCGAGGACCGTTGTATTTTTTCATACTTTTTAAATTTCGATTGAAAATGTGTCATTGTTATATTAATCAACCCCCGGTTCATGGGTCTTGATATTATTCCCAAGTCCAACATTGGAAGCATGTCTCTTCTGGTCTTCTAATTTTCACTGCATGTTGGATATCATGTGAGAGATAACACCGATATAATCTGTATAATATATGTCAGGATGCTGATATTATTCATGGTATTGGTAAAATACTTTCCCGACTATGCTAAACATCACCAGATCTAATATAAGAGAGAATACTTGTTTAATGAAAGTTTTTCGAGCGGATAATATCTACCTTCTCTCTCAAAAGATATCCAACAGCAGCATTTGGACGACTGGAAGCTGTATGTATCGAGTAAAATCTAGCATAAAATATTCGAAAATCGACTCTGCTATAGGACAGTAATACTTGGCTTGTGTCTAACATCATCACTAAAAAGCTATGTTTATTCAAAATATATCAGAATAACATGCAGATTATTCTGGCTCAAAGCCCTGACAGAGCTGTGGAATCCAATAAACCAGGAACACATACAAAAGCTGATTAAGCGATGGAAATTGAGATGGATTGTCCACACCTTAAGAAAGAATGAATAGGGAACATAACCAAATGAAATGGAATATATATGAATCACGAAATCGTGGCCGACCAAGAAACACCTGGCGATGAACAATAACGCAAGAACCAAGACAATGTAGAAGATGCAAAACAATGGCAACTAACCGAATAATCTGCCGATGCTTTGTAGAAGCAAGATGGACAAAAAAAAAACGTTTTGTAATTTTTTGAAATGAGTTTTTAAAGAAGAAACGAAATGGTCGAGAATCGATCTATATGTACAACGATACGCAGCAGATGATGATCAATTTGTAATCTGACTTTTTTCTCTGATATAGATCCCATCATCATCTACAGTTTTGTCGAACAAATTTTTTGGCAGAATTCTAAATTCCTTTCTTCATATTATATTTACGTGTTCCCCTTTTCTTTTCTCATTTGTTATTTCCTTTTCAGAATGAACCACAGGCCTCCAAATATGATTGACTTTCTTTTTTAACTTAACCTATACACCAAGTATATGGATTGCCAAATTGCAGTCACTTCTTCTAAAAAATGCAGCCAAGATCCCCAAAAAAAATCACTACTTTATGATACTCTGAAAAGGTACAGTGAGCCGCAATGCTGAACTTAAGGCCTCTGGGTCTCAGCATTAAGTGTCAGGCCGCGCGTAGTGCCCTAAGGTTCCATGAACAACATGTTTGGCGGTGACTATCTTTGTGGATAGTCAAGGGGCTCTTAAAGTCATCAAATCCTGTTACATCAAATCCGAGGCCGTCCTCAAGTGTAGAACACTTTTGGAAGAACTTACTTACCGTGATATCATGGTTAATGAAAGAGCAGACGAATTAGCTAGACGAGGATCCCAATCTACAGATCTAGCAATTGATGGCTCAATCAAACCACCCATATGTCATCTTTATCAGGAACTTTTAGGCGCTCTTCGAAGAAAGAGCCAATGAACTTTGGCACAACGAACCTAGGTGCAATGTGTCAAGATCTATCTGGCCGATTCTGTCACCCGAGAGGACAAATTGTTGAACCTGAGCAAAGCTGAAATTAGAGCAATGACAGAAATCATTACTGGTCATTGCAATATCAGGACCTTGTTGTTACTGATTGAGACCATGTTGTTATTGATTACTGTAGACTCTGTGCTGACGGAGACAATTGAGCATCTCTTGTGTCGCTGCCCAGTCCTGGCCTACAGACGGCACAGACTAGTGGGTGCTCACTTTCTTCTCAACAACAGAATCTGCTTTAAACTACAGCATCATTAGAAACCTAAAGTGGTTGGGAAAGTGCAACGTTGGCACGTAATATATTTTCTATCCAATTTCTATAGCCATCGATACTATCTCATACTTACCTTCTCATACTTCCTTATAAACTTCTTATCTCTCTCTATCACCCCTTTTTTCTCCCACATTAGATCTCCCCATATATTTTTCTTTTCGTGGATGATCATGATACCCTTCATCACTTTGTATAATTTAAACGTACATACATAACCACAATGTGAAGAAGGATATAAATGCCTTAGGAGTAGTAGGAATATGTGTACAAATTTTAAAATTCTATCTTGAATAATGCGATCTACATAATGTTTTCAACAGATTAACGTTTCTAAATCAACCGTATTATATCAAACTATCGAATTTTTAAAGATGTTACAAACGAAATGAAATATAAAAAAATAATTGATTTTGAAATATTATAACTCGCGACCATGATCGCTTAGTTTGATTGTAAAAAGTCTGGAAGTCGAACATAATATATTATTTACTGTTGCATCAACAAAAATATTCTTAAACATAACGTATCACAGTTGTTATTTAAAACAAATTTTTTTGTTAGTTTAATTGTTAATGAAAACCGTGAGCTACTTCTACGAACTTCTGTTTTACATTGCTTAACAGCTTTTCAAACAAATGTCTTAACCGAAGACAAGGACATGTTGGATGTTATTGGCGTTTGTTTCTAGCTCTGTATCTATTATTTAATACGAACAAAACAAACCGAACAAATTTTCTCATTGTAAATCCCAGAAACCAAGAAACACATTTTTCATGCACTGTTTGTCTTTATTTTTATATAGGTTATTTCCGCAAAAGTCTTATTGCTATTATTGTTGATATTCGTACTATTATTATTATTATTAAATTTAAATAGAGCCGGTTAAACTTGTTGAAAACTTCATTATGAATGAATCGTCGATGGCGGTTAGTATGGACGTTAAACTCTATTTGGTAATACATGCCATGCCGTGGCAATGAAGTAAAACAATTGTTCGTTGAGCGCCCAATAAACAAGCAACACCAACCGTGAGCTGGTGATTAGACAGGCTGGCAGACATACACACACCGCTAGACAATAGTGGCAGAGGTTTGACTTAATACCCGCTCAGAGTCATTCGTTCGTTGTACCACTGCCATAGTTTTTCTTACACACTTCTCCGAACTGAAGTTGTTTGTCGTCGGTGATGTTGATGGTGGTGCTGTTTTTTTTATTATTGGGGATGGTGATGATCATGATGATGATGTTGATGGTTGCTGTGCACTTGTTTACCCCTGAGTCTGCGTTGTGATGTGTGGATAGGTGTTTTAGTGGCTGGACTGTTACTGCTCCCACTGAAACGTTCCGCACTTCATACAAAACATTTCAGTCACTTATTTAACGAATGTAACGAATAAACGAACAATTTTATTGGTTTAATTTAAACATAACCGTTGACTAAATAAGACGTTAAGTTAAAGGTGGCGGCTAAAAAGAGATTGTGCTGCATTAAACATTTTAACTTATATTTCGTTCGATTTGTCTGTGCATTTATTTAAAAAAGAAAGAAAAAAGAAAACCAAAATGAATTATAATTCACATGGAAGAGAATTTTTATTATTATTAATTTATTATATAACATCAATAAGTAGTATTCACGCCACACATTACAATCACGCCCATATTTATAAAATACCCAATGGATATCCCACCCGAACAAATATGAATAACTTAATTTTAAACGATATGAAAAGTGCATTCGATCCGATTACAAATAATAGTTTAGATTTTGAACGAGTCGTAACTGAAATGTACAGTTTTCCAATGAAAAATCCAAAAATTAATTCAGCAATGGTATTTAAATTACCATTCGAGGAGGACGGGACCCGTGACAATAGATTTTCGGAACGTATGCTATTTATGGAACGGCAAGAGTTTATGGAACCAACATTTCCTAATTTAACCGAATCATATATGACTTTAAGGAGGTTTCGTTATGCGAAAGTGCCATTTAATAGAAATATTACCGAACTTATGCGTATCGAAATGCAAGCTATTGATCGAGCAGCGCAACGGGATCCCTGGTCACATTTGGGTTTAGACGGTTGGAATGGTGATATTGCCCAGCCACAAACTACACAGGATTATCGTAATAGGTAAGGAAAGAAAATGCTTATATCTTAGAGGGTCATTTTTTCACATGCCCTCATTTTGGACAATTTCTATTATCCTTATACTAAACAAACATATTGCAAAAAAAAAAAATTAATTTAAAAACGCATGATTTTCACATGTAATAAGTTGACGCTTTTCTTAATAAAAAATGTAATATCCAAAAAGTAGTATTTTGTTGTGTGGTAATAAAATAATGTTCAGTAGGTCAAAGCAGTATACATAAATGAACTAATGAACTTTGTTAAAAATTAAAAAAAATGACTTAATGTGTGTGCGGAACCATATATTTTTCTGGTAGACGAAAACTCTTAGTAACTTCTTTTGCAATAAGAAAGAGTAATTTTTATACCCTACATAACACTGTGATACAGTGTATTTTGTCTTTGTGTGTATGTTTGTAACATACAAAAAATACACATACTTATATAGGATCACTTTTTGAGTCGATTTTTGCATGTCCGTAAATCGTTTATCCCAGTTCTTCTCTTTAAGTATCCGATAGAGATGAAATTTTGAACAGCTCATTTATTTGACCCCATATCTACACTCCAATTCTGACCGCAAAATCTACGTCAAGCTCTCCAGTAAATTTGGTACTAAAATCTAGCTCTATACTAAATTTGGTACCGTTACATACCACAAGATTTCCAAAACTTCCTACTTACCACAATCCTACACCCTAAAAATAATTTGAATAACAAATTTCTGGATTCCAGCTGTATCGGTTCACCTAAATTTAAATTGTATCAAATTTAGTACCATTTAGTACCTACCTCAAATCCAAAAGAAATGATATTTCCCAATTTCAGGACACATGAGCACGAATTTCCAAAACGTTTTACATACCTCAATCCTACCCTCCAAATGTTATCTTATTAAATTTCAGCTCTATCGGGTTACCTAAATCCAAATTTAGTACCATTCAATATCCATAAGTACAAATGTCCAAATCTACATCCATACCCCAATCCTACACTCCTACGTATTTCCACTACCTCAATTTGACAATTATTTCGAAATTTCAGTGTTCTATCTCTATCGGTTCACCCAAATCCAAATTGTACCAAATATAGTACCATTTAGTATGCATAAGTTAAAAAATTTCCAAAACTACATCCATTCCCCCAATCTTATGCAATAAGAAGCAATCTTAATTCAAATTCCCCCTCTATCCGATCACCTAAATCCAAACTGTATAAGATTTAGTACGATTTAGTACACATAAGTACAAATTTCCATAACGATCTAATTTATAAAAATCCAAAACTTTTTGCATACCCCTTTCCAAAGCTTTTTGTATACCCCAATTCTACTCTGCAACAGTTATCTTAATTCCAAATTTCAGGATTCCAATTCTATCCGTTCACCCAAATGCAAATTGTACAAAATATTGTACCATTTCGTATCCATAAATAAAAAATTTTCCAAAACTATCTCCATAACCCAATCCTAAACTCCAACAGCAATCTTAATTCCAAATTTCAGGATTCTACTTCTATGCGAACACCTAAATCCAAATTGTATATAATTTAGTACCATTTAGTGCACATAAGTACAAATTTCCATAACGATCTAACAATGCAATAGAAATGTTATTTCCCAATTTCAGGATTCCAGCTCTATATGTTCAACCTAAATTCTAATTGTACCAAATTTGGTGTCGTTTAGTACTCATAAGTACGAATAATCAAAACTTCCTACATTTCCCAGTCCTACACCCCAGCAGTAATCTTTATTCCAAATTTCAGGACTCTATTGGTTCACCTAAATCCAAATTTATTACCATTTAGTACCCATAAGTACAATTTTTCTTAGATTAGAGCAGGTTGTTGTTGTTGTTGAGAAGAAATTAAGAGCACACACTAGTATGTGCCGTCTGTAGACCAAGACTGGGCAGCGACACAGGAGAGGCTCATTTACTGTTAAAGGCCATGATATTGCAATGACCAGTAATGATTCCTGTCATTACTCTTATTTCAGCTATACTCAGGTCCATCAATTGCCATACATAGCCATCAATTGCTATATCTGTAAATTGAAATCCTCGTCTAGCTATTTCGTCTGCTCTTTCATAGCTGTAAGTTCTTCCAAAACTGTTCTACACTTGAGGACGGCCTCAGATTTGATGTAAGAGCTGATTGACTATCCACAACGCTCTCTGCATCCAGATTGTTTATCAATTCCGCTGCCTTCCGAATCGCGAAGATTTTAGTTTGGAAACACTACAGTTGCTATCCAGCTTGTAGGTAAGCTCAAGGCCTAGCCGTTCACAGTAGACGTCAGCCCCTGTACCTTCTTCTATCTTGGATTCGTCTGTATAGAAAGACAGACCGTCCAGAGGAATGTTACTCCGGTTCCAGTCGTCTCTACTAGGAATAAATACATCTGCATCGTCAAATCTCAGGACTGGTGATATATAGTCGTTTAGTTTTACGCGTTGGTCCAATGTCATACCTGGTTCGTTCAAGATACAATCATGCCCAAAGGTACAACTTCCCCAACGATTTTGTTCATGCAGACTTAGGTCAATACGCGCGGCCCGAAACGCTTGAAATGCCGAGACCCAGAGGCCTTAAGTTCGTCATTGCGTTCAGAGCTGCTTGTGAGGTGCTCCTCGCGGCTGCTGTTATTAGAATAGAGGTGGCTCTTTTTACCTTATCTAGTTAGCTGGATGACGACTTGTGGCGCAGGCAGTTTCACCAAACGAGATAACCATAGGAAAGGATGGGCCTTACCATGGTGTTATACAACCAGTGTATAGTTGATGGTTTTAGCCCCCAACTTTTCCCAATGGAATTCTTGCATACATAGAGTGCAATCAGCCCTCACTTTGCCCGTTCCTCAGCGTTCCTATTCCATCGTAATTGACAGTCCAGGATTGTGCTTCAAAGCTACACTCCATCCAGTGTTGGTGGAGCAAAAACGTCGAGCTTACTCTTCCTGGTGAACATTGCCAGATCCGTCTTTGTTGGATTTACACCAAGGCCGTTCGCCCTGGCCCAACGCGACAGTGTCAGTAAGGCTCTTTGCATAAGCTCCGAGAAATTTTCCGGAAATCAATATCACGACGTTGTCCGCATAAGCTACGACTTTGACAACTTTTCCGTCCAGTTCCATCAGTATGTTGTTAATTACCAATGGCCATAGCAATGGTGAGAGCGAGGGTTGCCTCTAGTTACTGTTTTCCTGATTTTTGTATCCCCCATATTTGGATTTATAGTTCTGCTCTTTAGCATTTTATCTATTCAAAAAGTAAGGATTTCAAGAGTGCCAATTTTTTTAAGTGAGTGGTTTACGGACTCAAGTTGTTAAAGGCTCCTTCTATATCTAGGAAGGCGGCCAACGTAAAGTTCGAATTCCATATTTCTCTCAACATATCTTAACAACTCGTGCAGTGCAGATTCTACAGATATGCCCTTTATGTATGCGTGCTGTGAATTGCAAAGAGAGGTGGTGTCTATACGACTCCCAATCTCTAGGTCAATCAGTCTTTCGACAGTCTTGAGGAGAAAGGATGATAGGCTAATGGGTCTATAGTCCATTGGTGCAGAGTGGCTTGATTTACCCGCTTTAGGAATGTAAGTAACATTTACCTCGTTCCATAGACCCGGAACACACGAGAGAGTCAAACACGCCGTATAGATCTTCTTAAGGGTCAGATATATACTTGGCGAGGCAAATTGAAGCATCGCCGTTGTGATTCTATCTGGTCCTGGCGATTTATATGGTTTGAATGTATCTTATTTCTGTTAACCACCTTGCCAATGAGATAAAATTCTAGAGTCACAAGAGGCTGAGTGTCATCACGTTCACCGTCGATGGTACCCATACCTTTGCAACCTGGGAAATAAGTCTCAGCTAGGAGATTAAGAGTCTCAGAACCATCCTGCTTCTTGATACTTCCGATGGACTTCTAATCCTTGGATAGTAATCTTCGAAACCTAGCAGCGTCGTTGACTCCTTCTATCGACACACAGAAATTTATTCAAGACTTTTTCTTTGTATTTGTTGAAACTAGCTCTGTAGGAGTTCCAGCCAAAATGGAGTTTTGATTTATGCGCCCTGTCTGTCGTCTGGTCGGTTTCCTGAGCGAGGAAAAGAAAGGGAAGGGGAATCTGTTAATCCTAAACATGACAGATATATATGTATATCCCTTTATTTTAATTTTATTTTCCGACATTCCAAATAACTTCCATTTCATTTGTTTTGTAGTGACCCCTCAAACACATTGACCGAATATCCTTATCATGAAATAACAAAAGACCTATATGGCGGTATATCATCAACGGAATATCTAAAGGATATTGCTGAGGCAGAAATGAAACAAAAACAATATCGAGTAGAACTTAGAAAGGAAATGGATGAAAATGTGTTTATAGCACGATCAAATGATCCCTTTGGATATTCGACAAAATGGGAAAAGAGGTAATTTAATTTAATTTGTCTTTATTTACTTTGTAATTGAAGCCAAATTACAATTTAATGGCCAATTTATGTATAATTACAAAGAATCCACCTTATATCATAGCTACTCTAAATCAAATTCTTATAAATATAATATAATAAATATTTTAAACATGTTTAAATCTGCATTACATCATGACTACTCAAATATATCCACTTTTAAACAAGTTATTATAAATAAATGATGTTAACACTAATAAAACATTATGAATGTAATTATGCAGATGCATTTTAAAAAACTTCGTGACATCATGGCTACTCAAATGTAAAATATTAAATAATATAAATTTATAAATACAATACATTGAATACTATTGTGGTTGTTACGTAGCTTTAAAATGATAATCAATTTTTGCAAATCAAGTAAGGCAAAATCATATAAATGATTTAAAATGTATATAAAAAAGTTAGAACAGATTTTCGGAATAGTGTTGAAGAATTTTTTTCCTGAATAAGTTATAGGAATAACAGAATAGCTTTAAATTATTTGGGAGTATATTAAATAAACGAGTTACTCTAACAGTAAACGATTCATTCATATGGGGGCCAATTCTTGTGATTAGTTGATTTAATCGAATCGAATGACAAAAAGTAAAGTAATTTGTTAAAAACAGAGGTGATTGTTGTTTAAACACTTTGTAAAATAAAACCAAAACTCTGAAATTGATAAAATCGCGGAAAGAACAACCGAGAAAGCGATATACATAGGGGGAAATATGATCATACCGTTTTCTGGAATATAGATAGCGCATAACTCTGTTAAAAGCTAGCTGCAGCATAGAAATATATCTATCATAAGTGCCCGAATACACCTCTAAACAGTATAGCATATTGGGCATAATAAGAGCATATATTAGTCTCTTCTTTACATGATGTGGTAGAATTAAATCGGAATTGTAAAGTTGCCTAAGGGAAAAGTTTATATGGGCAACTATACTACTGATTTGACACTCAAACGTTAGCTTGTCGTCTAATATAACACCCAAACACGTCATGCTGTGTACAATGTTAATATTTACTCCATGATAAATTAATTGCAAATGGTTAACTTCCTTATTGGCAAAGATCATTGCATTCGTTTTCAATGGGTTAACAGAAAGACGATTGGCAGACATCCAATCACTGAGATTTCTCATAACGAGATCAATTTTAGATTGCAATATATTTTCGTAAGCGAATTCGCCTACAAAAAGAAGTTGTACATCATCTGCGTACGCATAAGGTATACACCAATATTTCAATTTATCAAACAAATCATTTAAAAACATAATGAATAAAAGAGGTCCTAAGACCGAACCTTGCGGAACGCCACTTTTACATGGGAGTATGGTAGAATAATTGTTTTTCTGGAAGACAAATTGTTTTCTATCAAGCAGGTAAGAATACAATAATTTACAGGCATATTTATTGAATCGATACACATTGTTAAGCTTGTGCATAAGACAGAAATAGTCTACCTGATCGAATGCTTTTTCCAGATCAAGTGAAATTAATACACATAGTTTATTGTTAGAAAAATACCTTCTTATATTATCTGTTAAACCGACCAACAACATAGCAGTGCTTCTTCCACTTCGGAACCCACATTGACAATCATTTAATAGTTTCTTTCTTTCAATGTACGATATTATTTGTTTTTGTAAAACATATTCCACAACTTTGGACAGAACAGGTACCAGGGCAATAGGTCGATACTCACAGAAATTGCTACTTTTTTTCTTAATAGGATTGATTTTTGCTGTCTTCCAGCAGCATGGAAATGTTGAAGTCTGTATAATGGAATTGACAATATGTAATAAGTAAATTGATATGTAAGGGAAAACCAATTTATTATATTTTTTAGTAAAACCATCAGAACCAGAAGCGTTTGATTTAACTTTGGCAAATGCATCGACCAATTCATTATGTACGATACAGGAAAATGAAAATCCATCATCGTAATCTGAAAAGTGTAGCAAATCTTCAAGGTCGCCTTGAGGATCAATTTGGTTATTGACAAACTTTAAATTAATGTTAAAAAAAATAAAAATAATGAAAAATACATTTTAATATTTTTTTAACTTTTTCCAGAAATCAAACAAAACACAAACGTGATGTCCTACGCCTGTATTCCATGCTGAAATGTTCTACTGGCTGTGAACCACTGATCTATAAAGGCTATGGCTGTTATTGTGGATTTTTGGGTAATGGAATACCCACAGATGGCATTGATCGTTGTTGCAAACTACACGATAAATGTTACGAGCACAGTAATTGCCTGTCATATCTGGAATATTTTGTACCTTATGTATGGAAATGTTATCGTGGTAAACCATTGTGTGCCATAGATCATGGAGAATGGGGTGGTCCGGATTCATGTGCTGCTCGTCTATGTTATTGTGATTTACGCTTGTCACGTTGTTTGCGACAATATGCATGTCCTAGTCGGCGGGCCGTGTGCAAGTCATCACTTGCCAGAAGATTACAAAATTTCATCTTTACATAGTGTTAAAGTTAATATTTGTTATCAAATGTTTTTCGGTTTTTGTTTTTTTAGAATAAATTTTTAATTTATTATTATTATTAATTATATTTTGTTTTCTATTTCTAACTTAAGATAAACGTAGACTTTTTCTTGAACCACTTCGCCCCTTGGAGGTGCTACCACCTCCTGTTGAGGACGAAGTTGAACCACTGGATTTAGTGTCCCTTACATTGCGATCCAATTTTCCGCCATGTGAATCCAAAAAGTTCGGCATAAATTCTCGAATATTTTGACATTCTTGTTGAAAGGCTAAAACAGCTTTGGCTGTAGCTGAATTGGTTTTTGTCACAAATAAAGCATTCTGACACATTAAGAGGACATCTCTTTGCAGCTCGTATGCAGAACGTATAACACCCGATTCGATATTATTTTTTATACTGGCAAAATCCATTGGTTTCAAACAAATTTCTTCCAACTTGTAGGGTGTATTTTCATCATTTAAAATACGTTGTATGGTCGCCGCATGTTTGCTATTCTGCAGCACATTATAGATACTAAGTAAGGATTTTTTGTAGGTCCTTAAATCGCGAGATTCATCACGATCACTGGAGGCAGGCGAGTTTGGTATACTATCTATCACCGGTGTCGATGAATAACGTCTTCTCGAACGTTGGTTTGTTGTTGTAGTCGAATGGTCACTTTGTGTTGTGGCATCATCATCTATCATGGGACTTTCCGAACGATCCCGATCACGTAGTTTACGCAAAGCTGTTGGTCGTGGAGTTAAGCTACCACCACCACCGCCGCTATTATTGGGTACTGCCATTTGTGTTGAAGGATTTGGCATTTCGTCATCAGTCTTAGCGTCGTGTGGACTTTTTCTCTGATAATGTGATGATTGCCTCTTGGATGAAGAAGAAGAAGATTTTTCATCTTTTCGCGTCTGTATACTAATATCTGTGGATGAGGAATTTTCATCTGTATCAGCCACAGAAATTGCTGGTGGTGGCTGTAGCATAGACAATGATGATGATGTGTCCATAGTTGTTTCAATATTTTGTAAATCATTTTGTGGTTGTATCATAGATGTATCTGCACTGCCCTCACTTTGTTCTGGTGGATGATTTGATTCACCTGAAATAAAATAAACAATAAGACAAATAAGAATATTTTTAAATATTTTCCATCGTTCAAATTACTTATATCAACAAATTTTCCTTACCATTCATATCATCAACATCACTTCTCATTTTGTTGTGATCCTGTCCTTCACTATTACTCTGCGTATCATCTTCACATTCAGTTTTAATTGTGCCGCTAGCCTTATTACTATCCTCCATAGCGGGCACTACAAATACATCTCCCTGTTTATTACCATCCGAATTGGTATGATCATCCTCATTTTTATCATCACCAGCAGGGTTGTCGTTTGACTTCCCAGCATTCTCATTTGCAGGCTGTTCATGTTCATCCAACATCTCCTGTTTGATTTCCAGTTTTGTTGAATCACCTTCTATGCCTTCGCGTTGCTCGGCTGGTTCGTTTTTTGGAAATGCAGACTCCACCTGTTCTTTTAAAAAACTACTTTCATTTGATGATTCATTGAGACGATCTTTGGACGATTCCAAAGAGGCTACAGCCGCCAAGGGTATATTATCGTTTGAGTCATCACTTGATGTTAATTCCGTTTTGGCTGGAACATTTGCCTCAGTGGCGTTTTCTGGATTTTGTATATTACTTTCCTGTTTAATATCGTCTATATTAACAGTGGGTGGTAGAGAACTTTGTGCATCTTGCTTAATAGTTTCCACAAGTTCAACACTTGCCTCTACCAGTTTTTCTTCCAAATCTTCCACGGCCTCTTCCAATGCCGTCTCCTCTTCATCTACACCCTTTAGAAAATCAACTTCTTCATCGATGACATCCGATACATCAATATCCAACTCATCTATGTTGCCTATATTCTTAAAGACCTCCATCAATTGCTGTTCTTCATTTGGATCTGTATCATCGATATCATCTGCATCCTGTGTCACATTTGTTGTAGCTGGCATGTCTTCTTCAATATCCATAGGTATTGATTCGTTATTAGAATCATTTGCCGACACCGTATCTGTTTCGGTTTTTGTGTTCACATTTGAATCAAATGTTTTTATTTCTGTCGACAGTGCAGAGGGTGCTGACTTATTTTTCTCCAATAGCATTGACAGAGTGGGTGCAGATTGTGAAGGGCTCAACAAGCTAAGCTGATTTGAACCGGAAGTTATGCTGGAATCCAAAGGTGGTCCACTAATGGGTCTGGTTAATAATTGTATTGCCGAATCTCCAGCAGGTATCAAAGCCGGTTGATTCGGATTTGGTATAGATCCACTGGTGAGGAGTGTTGTAATTGTTGGTGCACTGGTCCGTGCTGATACGGAAGCGGCACCAATGCTACTTGGAGAATTTGAAGCAGTTGGAGACTTCAAGAGGGACGTCAGCAGTGGAGATGTGCCCGCCTGCATTTGCATGGAATGACCTGTGTTTGATGTCACCGTTTTGGTTGATCCAATAATTTCCTCTACATCCATATCGACAGCTGTTGTATCTGTAGAAGATTTCAATGAACTCGAGGATGACGAGTTACTGGGAACAGCACCACCACTACTTGTACGCCAATTTCTTTGCATTTCTTGTTTACGCATTTCCCGCTCCCGTAATTGATTTTCCATTTTCATTTCATCAATTCTCAACATTTCCTGTTCCTTTTCAATATCCGACCACATTTGTAATATTTCCACATCTTCCAAACGTCCGGATTGTAGGGCCTTTATTTCTGCCACAATGCTTGCATATTCCTGCAAATATAGAGGTTTTAATATGCATTATATCGGAATTTGCAAAATCTATTACCTCTTGTTGTTTCCGTATTTCCAACTTTATTTCCTGCATTCGCTCTTCGGTGAGACGACGAACTATAGCCTCAGTGGGAGCCTCCACCGGCGGTGACGATGATAGACTACTTTCCGATGTTCGTTTCTTACGCTTTGGAGTTTCCACATCTTCCAAGAGGTGGCCATATTGTACAGCACAATTCTTTTGCGAAAACCAATCACCAGGACGAGGATGCAAAGTATCTTTTGAATTTCCGCACAGAACCTTCAATGCACGACTCACCGACATCCAATTTTGATCACCACTTGATAGAACCGCAGAGGCCAACGCCAGCTGTTCTCTTGTCGACCATTTGTCCAATGGTGTTCGATTCAGCTGTAAACGTTCCTGAACAGTAGCCATTGCAAGAAATTTTAATATATTTTATTAAAACTTATTTTTCAATGGACTGTGAAGAAAAAATGCGAATGTTGTAGTTCCGGAATAAACTAGTTCATTGGATCTATTCCGAGAAAGGAACGAACGGAACTAGTTCCAGTTCTTTAATTAATATAATTCCTTTCTCTGATCCAGTTCCTTTTTTGAACTATTTGAAGCAAAGGAACTGTATGGAGCAAAGGAACTATAAAGAGCAAAGGAACTATATGGAGCAAAGGAACTATATATGGAAAAACGAAAAAAAAAATAATAAAAGAGAGAGAGAGAGATTCAAAAGAACAGTGGGAAGCCTCCAAGACTCCAGCCTTCATAAAATTCGCTTGTTAATCGTCGTTCTGCCAAGACTCAAGCGACGTCGTACGCAAACCTTCGCCAACAAATGGTCTGTTCCAGTACTTTTTATACCCTCCACCATAGTATGGAGGGTATATTAAAATTTTTCATTCCGTTTGTAACTCATCGAAATATTCATTTCCGACCCTATAAAGTATATATATTCTTGATCAGGGTAAAATTCTAAGACGATCTAGCCATGTCCGTCCGTCTGTTGTAATCACGCTATCTTCTGAATGAATTGAGATAGGGTGCTGAAATTTTGCATAGGGTTGTCTTTTGTCTGCAGGCAGGTCAAGTTCGAAGATGGGATATATCGGTCCACGTTTAGGCATAGCTCCCATATAAGGGTACCCCCAAATTTCTGTATTTTGGGGTTCTTGAGCGCGTTTTTCAAGCGAATTTGTAGTAAATGTATCCACAAAAAATTATAAATATAGGTCCACTTTTTCTTGTAGCCCCCATATAACGGTACCTCCTAATTTTCAGTATTTTTTGGGTTTTTATCGTATTTTTCACCGAATTGGCTGTAATTTAGTATTTTGAGTTCTTAGCAGGTACCAAATCTCTCCACAAAAAAATTTAAATATAGGTCAATTTTTTCGGATATCCCCCATATAAGGGTACCCCCCAATTTCGGTATTTTGGGGTTCTTGAGCGCGCTTTTCAACCGAATTCGCTGCAATTTTGTACATTGGGTTCATATTGCGTACCAAATATCTCTACTAAAAATTATAAATATCGGCCCACTTTTTCTGGTAGCCCCCATATAAGGGCACCCCCAATTTTTGGTATTTTGAGGTTCTTGAGCGCGATTTTCAACCGAATTCGCTGAAATTTGGTACAGTGGGTTCATATTGGGTACCAAATATCTCTATTTAAAATTATAAATATCGGTCCACTTTTTCATTTCAAATACCTGTCAGTATACCTGTGGTGGAGGGTATCCAAAGTTCGGCCCGGCCGAACTTAACGCTTTTTCACTTGTTTAATAGTAAAGCTAATAAAAGGGAAACATTTCAAGTCTCAGAGTACAAAATAATTTGAAAAGTTCGGGAACGCAAATCTAGTAAATATGCCAAAATTAGATGACAATACTTCAAAATCAACATAACAAAAAGTTTACAAAGAGAAAGCCATTTTGTTTTGTGCTCTCTTAAATTTGATTCAATGCTTTACCAGTTTTATGGGTTCAGGAACGGTTTTCGAGTAAAAAGTTGCAAAACTTGTAAAATTAGTAGATTCTTTTAGGTTTTGGAACGGAGCTAATATAAAAACGACGACTGAAAAAATTGAAAAACGTTCCACCTGCTAACGAATGGGAGGAGAAGACAAAATGGCCGATAAAGATGAACTCAAAATGGTATAACCGAAGGTTTACGAATGAGGTGGGATAGAGACTAAATGGAAACCGTGTTGTTTACGAATGAGGTTTAGGCAAATTATGATTAGGGATAACTAAATCGACTTTCGATTAATCGACTTTTTGTATTGAAAAGTCTAATGCCATGTACAGACGAGCGTTGTTCCCTCTCTCATTCGTGGTTCGACTCTTAATTATGAAGTAATTACATAGTTCAAAGGAACTACATTAAGGAACTAGTTCCTTTTTAAAAAAGAAACGAGAGAATCCGCTACGTGACCAGCTGTATAGGGATAAGTAAATCGACTTTTGACTACCCGATTAATCGATTTTTTCTATTGAAAAGTTTAATGCCATGTTCTGACGGGCATCCGAACAACGTAGTTTGCTCTCAGAATTACGTACATGAATTAACCCGTTCATACAACACTATTCATAATTCATATCATCAGAGTTTTTTATTTCAAACTTTTTGTTTCTTGTTTTACACCAAAAATGTAACATATTTTAGTGAATTACATAGGGATCTAAATAGAAAAAATAATTCTCTTTCTCCTGACTATAGTTGAACCCATATCTATTTACTTTTCATTCATGTTTTTCATTTTTTCTGAAAATGTTGTTGTTTTTAATACATTTTTATATTTTCTCAATTCAAATGTCACATACTGTCACAAATAAAAATTTGGAGAATTTTTTGTTTGAGTTGCCCCACATTTGTTTCTTGTTTTGTACGCTAATTAGAACCAAGGGAAAAGAAATGCATATTGCATTATGTAGAAAACAAAATTTACATCCTGCTGCATATATAAAAACTATACAATTTTTTACTTTTCATTCATGATTTTCAATTTTACAAAAAGTTTGAAAATTTCATAAATATTTTCAAACTGTCAAAATTAATTTATTTTCAAAACTCTCAATTGTTAGGGATGTTTATTGGTGATTCAGAGAGTGATTTGAATTGAACAACGTACAAAAGTCGGTGTTCGCTTTTTGTATGGGGAATTTTCCTTCATAATTAAGGGTCGAACAACGAATGAGAGAGCGAACAACGCTCGTCTGTACATGGCATAAATCATCATGTCAGTAGTCACACGGGCAAATTTTGTGGTAAAGTAAATTGAGTTTATGGGCGATCGAAAAACAGCTGTTTTTATTCGTTGTAAACAACTGAAGTTGGCTGCAAAAAGTTTTGCATTTTCTTTGTTTTCTGTCGGCAAACAAACGCCAAGTCAGTTAATAAAATTAAAACCTTTTGCGAGGAAAAAAACACATAATATGTCTGTCGAGTAATTCAAGAGTTCCTTTTACAATTTCTTGTTTTTTCTTTTAATTCCATTTTTTAATTTTCATGAACAATGGTCAAACGAGAAAATGAGTGTGTGGAAGAATAAGAAAATTCATAATGGGAGTCAATTCACAATAATGCATTTTGACAGCGAATTTGAGTGGTCTCCTTGGGTGACCTTATTTATAGGTCATGAAACAGGTCGTGTCAGAAGCAATCGTTATCGACAATTTTGGAGTACAATCCCCCGTACTGTCAAATATTTTGTTTACGTTTCCACACAATTTAGTCAAAATCGAAAGCATTTTGACAGCTCGGGTGAAATCATATGGCCTTATCGGACGACCTTATTTTTGGATCATGGTTTAAATCATGGCTGATGTCTCGATTAACTGTCAAAGTTCGTAATTTCTACTTGAATTCGATGTGCAATTATAAGGAAAAATTTCCTTGTGGTTGTGTATTTTCGATAAAACAAAAAGCGATGGATGGCAACGTGAACATTCTGTTATGGGCTCAGCAGAATGTTCGAGTTGAGCCATCCGTCGCTTTATATATTATCGAAAATACAACGCGGCGGATGGCTCAACGCGAGCATTCTGCTTAGTCCTTTATGATTTCTAAGATCACCCAGGTAGCAATCGAAATACAGCTGTATTTTTTTTAAGTCTAATGTCGAAAATTTCGACTTGTTTACGTTTTCAAAATAGATTTTGACAGCAAACTTGAGTGGCGCAGATATCCAGCTGGTCTCCCAGGATGTCCTTATGTATAGGCCATGATCGTTTCCCTGTGGTTGCTGTATTTTCGATAACACATAATTAATTTATCGGCCGTAGAAAGGAGAAAATCTTGGTTTCACATCGAAGTTCGCAACGAATAAAAATCGAAAAACGTTCCTCTTGGTAACGAATGGAAGAGAAGACAAATATTTACGAATGAGATGGAATGGAGACTGCATGTTTCATCGAGTCAGGCGATCAGTGCTGTCAAGATCTATTAATAAGGTCACCCAGCTAGCGAAACTCAACTGTTTTCTTTCTAATGTCAAAAATGTTGACTTTGTTTACGTGTTCATAATGGAAGTCAATTAACAATAATGGATTTTGACAGCAAACTTTGTTGACAAAAGCTACCCTATATTGTAGATATCGCTTATATTTTTTTGTGTGTAAACACTGCATTAAAACACATTTCACATATATTCATTTGTTTTAATTAAATTATTTTTTATTAAATTACAATATAAATTTATTAAAATAACAATCATTATTTGGCTAGCAATTATTAGCAGCATCCATTTTCAGGCGTTTACATTTCATTCGGCGATTTTGAAACCATACTTTTACCTATAAATAAAAAAATAATAATTAAAATATTTGTATTCAATAAATAACTGTATTTTATAAAAATGTGAATTAAATTATTATAATGTACACATTTTAAAATTAATAAAACACTTGTGAAACCACTTGGCAATCTCTTTCAGACAAGTATTCCTCAAGGAAATGTTGGCTTTGTATCGCTTTTGTCGACTATTGTGGCGACATGTCTCCATATTCTCAACAACTTGTCTACATATCATATAATATATGTAATAAGAAGAAGCATCGGTTATGTTAACAGCCAACTGAGCATGGTTATGCTTCTTCTTATTTTTCTTTTCTTACAAATTAGTTTACCGGCAGTAGACAAACATTTTAGTAAAAACACGAGTTTAAATTGATTAAAGACAATTTGATAAAGAAAACATTTTGAGCAAAAGATATTATAAAAGATTTACTGGTGACATATGTGACCTTGTGTCTATATCTACACACTATTGACCATGTCACTAGTTCATTCTCAATGACAAGCACATGCTAAATGTCAATAGTAAAAATCACGGATTGGTTATAGTCGGTTAGTGGTAGTGGTGACAATTTCAATAGTAAGTCAGTAGTGATTTACTATAAACATTTCCTACAGGGATACTTG